TCTCTCTCTCTCTCTCTCTCTCCTCCCTTCACTCTCTCTCTCTCTCTCTCTCTCTCTCTGTATCATTCTTTCTTTTTTTTCTCTCTCCTAACTCTTCACAAAATATCTCACTCCCTCACTCTTTCTTGCTCTCTCTCACTCTCTCTCTCTCTCCCTCTCTCTCTCTCTCTCTCCCTCTCTCTCTCTCTCTCTGTTTCAGTCATTTTTTCTTTCTCACCCTTTCTCTTTTTTTTCTCTTTCGCCGTTTTATTACATGTCTCACTTTTGTGCCTCGATCTTCCTAGTCTCGCTGGTTTTCAGTGAGCAAAATTTTGCATTTGTTACTAAATATGAGTATCTATGTCAATCAATTATTTTTTGCTGTGTAAAGCCTTAACCCCTTTTTAATGTGAAGTATTCAATGCAATGTTATATAATATTCAATGCGCACGCAACTTCTTTGGATCAATTGGCGATAAAACACTTCGGAATTCACACATGCCGTTAACAAACTCGTAAAATAAAACACTCATGGAAGTTGATTCACAAATTAAATTTTTAGACATTTTGTTACAATAACCACACTCTCTCTCTCTCTCTCTCAAAAAAAAAAAAAAGACTATAATTTTACGGTTTTATATAATAAGTAAGACAATACGAAAACCTGTAATATTAGAGGCGGAAGAAAATTCTAAAAAAATTTCAATTGTGTTTGAGTGAGTTTTAGAAAGAAAGTCGATTGATGTCAACGTCTTTCAAAAAATTGGAATATTTTTATCTATTTAAAGCCCATCGGGGTCAATCGATAATTGTCTACTTATACTTCCTTCGACCAGGACTCCGTTCGAGGACAACTCATCCATCCCGAGACGGAGCTACAAAACTAGGACGTACCGGGCAGATCGATGATGGTTCGGCCCCTTTTCAATACCGTTAAATTTGATATTTGCAAAACAACACCACGAGGAAAACGTTTTACCTATTACAAAAAAATTTACAATATTAAATAAAAAGCTTCATTTATACTTTTAGCATTATTTACGACTTTTACAACTTCATAAACGACATACACATACACACAAAATGAATGAAGTGTGTCAAGATTGTTAAAACATTACAATTAATTAAGGTTTTTAGTTGAGATGAAAAAACGTTAATGGCACGAGCGGGATTCGAACCCACGATCTTCGGCTAGATACGCCGCTGCTCTACCACTTGAGCTATCGTGTTCTCATCCACTCGGACATCAACTTCCTATCTCAACNATAAAGAAAATGTTTTTCTGAAACCTACATCACACCCGACCGCATCTCACGATATCTGAATAACTATCGATTAACGGTCACTAATCTCTACACAAAATATAGAACGTTGAATTGAATTATGTAGAAACTATAAAATGCTTAGGTCCTTATTTGAATAAAAATTTAAACTGGAGCGGACAAATTTTGAGTGTAACTAAGAAAATGTACTCTAAATTTACACGTTAAAAATATTAGTAGGTTTTGCGAATGTTACTATTAAAAAAAAAAAAACGTTTATTACAAGCTCTAGTATTCGCGTATATTCAATATGGAATAACTGCAAGGCGTGACTTACATTGTATGCAAATCGATAAACTACAAGTTGGTGTAAATATGTGTGTAAGACATATACTTAACTTAAAATATGATGATAGAATTTATGATAAATATTCTCAACTCCAGTTTTTAAAAATTAATGATTTAATTGATTATAATTTTGCATGTATCATCTTCAACGTGTTAAAAATGAAAAACCTACGTACATATATAAAATAATAAAATATAGATCTGAAGTACATGATATAAACACTAGATATAAAACTAACCAATTACAAATTATAAAACATAGAACCACAATATTTAATAATTCATTTGCAATTAAAAGTGCAAGAGTGTTCTCACAAATAACCAGTTGAAATTCAGCATTGTAACAATATAAGTATCTTTTGGAAAAAACTAAAAAATTATTTTATATCAAAATATGTATAATAATATTAAACTGTAATATTATTTTTTTCTCGTTTTTTCGTGTTAATCCACTGCAAACAACTATAGTTCGTAAGAAATAATCAATTTGTTCAATTTTTTTGTGTATAGTAGGGTAGAGTTTATAAAATCATGTTGCTGTAATTTCACTTTAGGTGGTGGTCCTAGAGACCAAACCTTGAGTGATTCTCTAATAATGCG